GTTATGGTCTTCCATGTGGTCTTCCATGTAGTTTGAAGACGTTGGGATATATTTAAATTCAAGCTGTGTATCTCTAAAGTGAAGTGATAGATTCCAATGGGACTTTTGTATTGGTTTAAAACCAAAGGGTTGGTCTTATGACGTGGCTTGAATTAAGAGCTTGGTCCTCTTATTTCATCCCCTCCTACCACATACTTGTCCTCATGCTTATATTCATCTGACTCAGTTAAATTGACTTACTGAGTATCTTTGATTAGTGAGCTGAGTTGCTTTAACCTTTGATCAGCCAAGAACCAGAGTCTGCTCAGAGGACAAACTGTGCTGTTGGTATGGCAGAAATGCGATACACCTTTCCCTAAGAGACTGGAAGTTGTTAGTTTGGCTCAGCCTTATAATGAAACTGTATTGGGTTATACGGGAGTAACCTGAAAGATATTAATGCTGATAGCAAAAGTTGTGTTATTTAAGTTGTCTTATAGGTGCTTTTTCACCCCTAAATTGTCTACTTTTGCGCTCAAAATGTAATGAACCTGTTGTGACTTTGTCTAGAGTACCAACCATTCCAGACTAATACACTTTCTCACCCTTTGTATGGAGTAACAGAGGCAACTAATGTCAAATTTACTAATGCTTTTCATAAGAGTAACTTATTTGTATTTCCTATTTCAGTTGCTCTAAAGGTTGGAGATGAGAACTATCTGCTAACTTGTTCTGCTTTTTACTGCTGCAATTTGCTTATAAATCCCAAGGGATTTGTTGAATTGGTCTAGTCTTTATATATTCCTACAAATCTCTTTGTCTGATGTTAGAGTGACGTTATCTCATGAAGACTTTGCTAGAGAGAGATGTTTTTGGTCTGTTCTTGAGAATCACAAGACTTATGTAGAAACTTAAGTGTTTTCCAAATATTTTTAGGTTTCCATGAACAACAATCTCAAAACTCTGTGGCTTTAATAAAAAATTGCTATTAAAACTTTTGCAAAGGATGGCAGATTATTTTTAAGACTTAGGCATGTTCTCTGTCATAAAAAAAAAAATCTGTCTTGTGGGCTGCCTGCTGCCCTTCAGGTTAACACTGGGTCACAGAGAATCACAACAGTTTTTTGAAAATATTATTGAGATGTATGTCCAACGATGAGAAGTTTAGTGCTTCTTCCCTGCCCCAGATAACAAATCTGGCAAAAGCGACAGATAATGGCTCAAGTCTTTCAAAAGACAGGCTAGCAGATATGTAGTTAGTGCTCTAAGGAGCCTTTAGGAAGGGGACCAGCTGCTTTGAAATCAAGACTGCAGATAAATTGTGTTATTTGGGGGAGGAGAAAATCAAAACAAACCAACCATAAATAACTCTTCCATGTTAGTCATTTTGTCAGAATCTTTTTCAGAATGAGTCTGGAGAGATGAGCTCTTTTTCTTGGGACAAAAGGCATCTGGCATTTGACGATGCATAAAGCAGCATTCTGAGCCTTCAAGCTGTAATTTTTTGTTACTGTTGAGTGCTAGATGCTGGAACTGGCCATTAGCATAAGTAAGTGATCAGAAGGCAAAATGTGAAGCTTGCTGTTGTCTTCTACTTTCATAGTTTGTGAGGTTCAAAGTCCAGATGGACACAGAAAAATGGATTTGGAATAACATACTTGAGTACCTGATAACTTCTTTGTAAGGTCTGTGTCAGTTCAGGCTCCTGGACATAAAAAATAAAAAAGCTCTGTTGCACTTGCTGGAGCTTCTGGCAATGGCAAAATACAGAACTGGCTGGACTTGTAGACTTTCTGTGGGACGAATTGGGTAAGAAAATTCATTTATACAGTGTCCTGCATGTTGTGGAACGCTAGCTTTGCGTGGTAAACCGACAGGTAAAATATGTCATGATAGAAGCATTGACAAATGCATATTGCCTTCAAATAAACTACTTTCAATTTCAAGGCAAATGTTACCTGTGTTAAATTTTTAAGAAGTGATAAACTGAAGAGCTGTGGTTTAGAGGAGACTGTATTTTTTGACGAAGTGGCCTAGCTACAGTGACAAAATTAGAGAGAAGTGTTTCTTGGGAAGTGAGAAAGGGGGAAATCAAGTTGTCACTTTAGAAAATGTCTCAATAAATATTAAAGCTAGGGAATATTAACTTTCCACTCTACTCATGGTACCAACTTGGCATTCTTCTAGAAGAGCAAATGATTTGTACTGTCCTATGTTATCTTGATATTTTTTTTTTTTTTTTTTTGCTGGCGTATGGTGTTGCCTGTGAGGTGCATGAGTCACTGTTAACTACCCCTGGAAAGAGGTCAGGGTCAGAAAGTTGCACTTTTTTCTAGTTTATGCTGACAGCTGGGCATACAGTACATCCGACTGCTGTTCTGGGGTTTGTCTTCTGCTGATACCAAGAAGTTAGTTATTTCTGATAGGACTTGCAAGACCAGCTGCCATATATCAAAACCAGAAGAATATAAACTTTTTTAGAGTGTTCTCTTAACGTTTCTGTTGTCATACTCCCACTGCTTTTGTCTACTCTCAGCTTTTATTTCTTGCAGTCAGAGGCTTCCCCCTTCCTTTTTTTGGTGTGCCTGTACAGGAGTTGCTATACATCATGCAGATGTAGGAGATGATCTGGTACCATCCCTGCAGTCTTTTCAGGAGTATCACCAACTTCTTGAATCTTATTTTCTTTCCCACTTTTAATACTCTAAACTAATATTCTTCTGCTCTCTTACTACAATCATTCTGCTCTGTTTGTTACCCTATAGGTAGGATTTTTGGAGCTAACATCTGCTTGCAGGACACAGATAGTCACAGGGGTGCAGCATTTGACTTGTGCTCCTGGTGAAGTGCAACCCAATGCAGTTTGTCTGTGCAATGGGTAAGAGGATCACTGGTATTTCTTTCCATTTTTCAACAAGCTAGTGCAAGGGGTTCAAAGTATAACTGTTTGCATGTATTTAACATTTTTCGGTCAGAAAGCACCTCAGAGTGCTGCTCACCCCTTGCCTGTGCTACGCTGACATGAGTGCTGGCATAGTTGGAGGAAGGGGACAGGGCACGATTGCCCCTTCAGCAGCAGCCTGTCTTTATTTTGGCTGTATACCCCGGTCACCGGGCTCCCTGGCAGCCTGTGCTGATCTAAATCCAGGCGTCTGTCTCTGCCCCAATCGGCAGTCCTGCCTGTCTGTGCTGAAACTTGTATTTCTGCTGCTGTGCTGCAAGGCTGCTCAAGGAGCTGATGTGGTTGAACACAAACTGGTTTTGTACCTGGGTTGTTCATCAGGCAGTGATGAACAGGGGGAAACACAGCTCACTGCTGGATTTTTTTTTTTTTTCCCCACATGCTACCTAGCTAAAGTTGAAATTCTGCTTCAATACTAATTGTTATCCAACAGCGCTATGAGCTCAGCTCGTTACATAGGTAGGATGACCGGTTTCATACAGTCTGCAAAACTCAGCAATAATTTGCAACTCAAGTTAACAATAGTTTTTCTGGACCCATTTAGAAACCATGTGAAATGTTGTTTACATTATTCTGCTTACCAGAAATGGTCATAAATGTATTGAGGTTGTATATATGGACATAGATCTGTCACAAACCTATTAAGCATGTGGGGAAGCTGCCTTGTAGCAACTGAAGCTGTCTGTTCATCCTGCTAGTATTGAACTCTGTGTCCTAGAAGGAATAACGATCATCACATACCAATTGCTCCTTTTCTGTGGTCCATCAGAGCCTCGTGTTCAAGGAGAAGGGATGTATGCAGAGAGTGGCAGGGTGTCTAATGTGTGGTCCTGAGCTATACACTTGAACAAAATAAAGCTTGATTTTATTTATTATAATGTAATCCGTTACAAGTTACCAATCAGAACAGAAAACCTGTTTGAAGTTCTGAGCTTGCAGGAGGCGATTGTGTCCTTTTGGAGCTAGTGACAAACAGCTGAAGTGTAAAAGCAAGATCTTTGTGATGCAGATTTATGAAAAAGATGTTGAACTCATTGAAAACCTTGGCTCAAACAGGGTGGAGAACACCTTTAACTGAAACGTTTTACTTTTTTGCAGGTATATTTGAATGTTTTGATTATATAATTTTTAATATAGAGTGTATGGTGTTGAAATATATTCTATAAAGATCCTGTAATTATGAAATACCTCTTGCAGAGTGTAACTGACCTTCAGGCATTCTTTTCAAAGGTCGTGAGCACGACAGTGGGTGTCACAAAAGTGCTGAGCCACACCATATTGTGGAGTTTGGCTCTGTTCAGAATTTCCCTGGATGTCCTTTTGACAAGTCTTTAATGAATAATCTAAATTATTTAATCACTTTAGGCTTGCATGTTCATTTAAAAAAGAAAAAAAAAAAGCTGTAGAGATGTTTGCTGGAGATGTTAGTGCTATTTCTAAGTGTCTGGTCGTTAGTATTGTATACTTGAAACTTTTTTTTCTTGTGCAATACTTAAGATTTTAAATAATTTGATTAATCTGGGAAAGGGTGCAGCATACAGAATAAAAAACATTGGGCCAGCTTTGTCTGAAAATATGGTTAAAAAGATTACTGTGGATTATGATTAAATTTAACCAAAATTTTGGCTTTATTATATATAATGGCAGAACTTTCAGAAATGTCTAAGGTGTTGTTTGAGGGGGTGTGTGTGTGTGAACTGGAGGTGTAAAGGATATTATTAAAATTGCTTGAGAGTATCCTTAGAATTGTTAAGCTGAAAATCTGAATTTTTTTAAATGTTCATTTAAAAGAAACTGTCTTGCAAATTACAGGACAGTATAAACAAAAAACTATAACCATGTTTGTTCTTATTCAGAAATGTCTAAGGTGTTGTTTGAGGGGGTGTGTGTGTGTGAACTGGAGGTGTAAAGGATATTATTAAAATTGCTTGAGAGTATCCTTAGAATTGTTAAGCTGAAAATCTGAATTTTTTTAAATGTTCATTTAAAAGAAACTGTCTTGCAAATTACAGGACAGTATAAACAAAAAACTATAACCATGTTTGTTCTTATTTTGCAGACCGCGAGGACCAATCAATTCTCTGCACGTAAGTCAACACCTTTCATTTGAGCATTTTTGGAAATCTGTATTGTGAAAGGGGTCTTTGATACAGCTGTAGTAGTCAAAACTTGGTCTTTAATCTTAACAGGCAGTGACTAATGGTTAAAGACATAGCATGAAGTGATATTTAATGTGGGGATATATTCTTTTAATACTGTAATTCACCTTATTGAAAGTTTTATAGGCATGTGCCATTTAAGAAATGTAGTTTAAAAATGTCAGTCAAGAGATCTGAATCAGTAACAAAAAGCTTTAAAAAGTGTACATCTGTCTGAAATGCTGTGCTGTAACTACTCAATGTGTAGCGCCCGAGGGGAACATGAATCAAAAATTGGTCTAGAAACCCTGCTGAGCAACAGCTTAGCTTTGGATCTGCTTCAAACGGGTAAACTCTGAACAAGTTGACACTAAGCTTTCCTTTTGCTTTCTCTGTGTGCACCTGAATTTGCCCTACTCAGGAGCAAACTTCTAGCTTCAGCTTAAATTTCTCTGGGATCTGGAAATGTAATGGTGGGGTAGTCAGAAGAGTACGAATGTGCTTTCAGGCTTATGACACTACTGAGCTGATCTATCTTTGGGCTGCTCTTAAAAGGGGTGATCCAGTTTCCTTTCCTCTCCCACATAGGCTCTGTGTTTCTGCAGCCTCTTGCGCTAGCCTTGGGGGTTGGCAGCCAACATAAGCTAGTTCAGGGAGCGAAGCTGGCAGAAAACCGACCTTGCCACAAAATGATGCATTTCAGCAGTTTAGTTCTCTGGGTCTGCGTTCTGTGGGCTCAGAGGAGTACTGGCCTGGAGCAGGAGGTATGAACACGCAGGAGAGGAACTGTCCCTGTTGGTAGCAGCCTGGGGGTTAGGATGGTTCATCTGTGTTGTGAAACCACACCTTGGCTCCATTCTGAAACTGCTTGCAGTTAGCAGTCTTGGGTATAACTTAACATATTCAATTATCTGAGGGAGAGAGGGAAGATACGGTAGCTTGCATGCCTCTGATTTGGTTATGTGATCAGTTGACCATAGTGTGTGCCAGTGCATACCAGCTGCATTGAGGCCATAGTTTGTGAGGATGCCTGCTTCCTGAAATAGCTCGATGGTTAGATTAATTGCTGGAAGGAGACCTGGGTTCAGTTTCCTTCTTGACATGAAAGGATTCAAATCTTCATCTCCTGCTTCCCACAAAAGTACCTTAACTATCAGACTCTGTACAAAACTGAAGGTGGATCCTTTCAAGCCGCGCTTTTTTGAGCTATGGATACCATGAATACAAGATTCATGGGGCCTAAGGACACAGAAGCAAATACGGTTCTGCAGCTAAGATAAAAGTTGATCCAGTTAACACAGGCTTGTCTAGGTCTGTGGTTCCTGCTCTTAATAGGACTTCTGTCTTCATGTGATGACTACTTCACGTGCAATGTACAAAACAGCCCTCAAAGCAGGGATGGGATCCCAGAGCAAAAAGAAATGCTTTGTTCTTGTGTGTTTGTGGATGCTTCGACAGTATGTGCTTGCCCCAGGTGAATTTTTTTTGAAGTAGCTTCATTTTTTGTGCCTATGCATGAACCTTGGACTTTACATGGTCAGCCGAGACCACAAAGGTTGGAATGGCAGTGCTACGGGATTTAGTGAATGTCTGATCTGTTCATTTGCAAATTGGAAAACCTTTAAGCTCTCTTGCCTTCAATTTTGTTACTACCTCATCTGTAAGGTTACCGTAAGCTTTTGATCCTTCTGTGCTGAATAGACAATTGAACCCTGTTTTATATCCGGTACAGCACACTTCAGCATGAAATATCTGGATCTTGTGATAGGTTCCACATCTTGGCTAGGGAGTTGATAAGCTGCTTGCTGTACATCCATCTGCAGAGAGGAGCTTGCTTCCAGATGGTGAGGGATGGGGAATGGACACACATCCTTACAGTCAGACCTCAGGAGAATGTGACCATATCCAGTACTGAAGTCTGGAGCTACTGGGGACTGCTCTGAGTGCAGTTGTAATATTAAGACCCTCAGAGATCGCCGTGAGGACATCTTTTCTGTTGGACAAGTAAAACGTTTGGTGACAAATCTACTACTCCATGTAAAATTTCAGAAGTTGGTGCTAAGAAGCACTGAACAATATATCTCCGAAGGATTTCAACACTGCCCTGGAATCATATCACAAAACTGAGTATTGAAACTATTAGTACCATGGCACTGGACAAGTTTTTGCTACCTTTAATTCAGTGTCTTGGTTGTACCAGTGTTAAAGGCTTAACTGAAGTTTGGCAGTGTCTTAATAAAGCTGAGTTTCTGAGCAACGCATTCCAGGCTCTATTGGCTGTCTTACTGCTTTAACTTGTGTTTCTTACTGAAGTACATACACAGCAGCATAAAGAAAAACAAGGTTAAAAAGATCAATGTCACTGAACATGGTTTACAAGGAAATACAAATTTCCTCACTAAGTGGCCTCAGAATTATGAAGGGTAAGGCATCATATCTCCAAACTGGATGTACAAGACCAAAGAACATTCAATCTAGGTCTTGCCTCCTGAGAATATGAAGACACATGATGTGATAGATGCTAGGATCCAAGGTGTTTCTGTCATCTTGAAGTTGAACACCAAAGTTCCACCATAGCCCAGGAGACCTTGCTAACACTGTCTAACCATCAGCACCATTTAGATGCTGACTGTAAAAAAGGATAGTAGGGGTTACCAGACTGCTGTTCAGGTTAATAAACAGTTTTCTCTTGAAATAGGTTTGTCTTAGGCTGCTTTTCAGCTCTGTGTCCAATTCAGAGAGAAGTGCCATCAAAACCATTTGTATTCCCCTGCATGTATCTTTTGAACAAATAGACTATAAAGACAGCTGCCTGCTGCAGTACCGTCCCTAACATGGTTTCTCCCATGGGCTTCATGGGAGAGCTGTGTTCTTTTGTCAGGTTTGTATTATAAACTCAGTACTTGACATCTGGCTGGCTGGAATGTTAAATCCTCTTCATGAATGGGACAAGGCCATGGCAAACTCTTTTGTGTAGCAGGCTAAAAGGAGGTCTTATGTTTTGATCCAAGAGTGGGCTAGTGTCCAGGACTTCTATTGCATTGCTGATTCTGTGGTGAAGAGGTAAACTGTGTGTGTTTCCCTTCCATGCCACTGGTTTTACAGGTCTTGGGACTAAGGCAGGAATAAATAAAGTGGGAAGAGTGTGTCTTAACCGCACCAGACGTGGCTTCAGAAACTCCTTTGGCAGTTCATAAAAAGCTTGAGACAACATCTCATCCCAAACTTGTTATCTCAGGACCTGGATCACCTGATTGACCCTGATCTTTAGTAGAGCTGAAAGTCCTCAGAATACTTTTTCTTTTCTAGGAGTGGTTCAAGCTAGCTAGTGAGAAAGAAGGCATCCCTTGACTTGTGCACTTAGATGAGTGGACAGTCGTGGTGTGCTTGTCATTCTCCTGTCTTCTACTGCCTTGACCGTAATTGTCTTTATGTACGTCCTGGAGATAAGTCTCTCCCACTGCTTGATGAAGGTCTGTCTGGTTAGCATCTTCACCTATCTCCCCCTGCCTCTAGTTGATAAAGTTTCCTGGATTTTTACCTTCCATGGCCTTTAGAGTAGGGGGCCAGATCACCGCTCAGGTAATAGTATTTGAATGACACCTTACCAGGTCTCTGGATCCAGCCCCCTTTTCTTCTTGGCAGCCAGAAGTGCTGCTCTCAAGGGCATTCTTAGGTGTAAGATTGGTGCTATTTCAAGCCTTTGGGTTTGATTTCAGTTCTTCCTCTTCAAAGACTCTCTATGCACTTTTTCCAGATGCCTGCCTTTGTTTAGTTCTAACTTAGTGAATGTCTGATCCATTCATACTTACCTTGGAAAACCTTTCCTTTGTTTAGTTCTAACTTAGTGAACTATGTTCGATCCATTCATACTTACCTTGGAAAACCTTTTAAACTCTCTTGCCTTCAATTTTGTTATTACTTCACCTGCAAGATGACCTTAAGCTTTTGATCCTTCTGGACTCAATAGACAACTGAATCCTAATTTATATACCATATTTACACATGGTATTTTTTTGCCCTAGGCATGAAAGTGTGCAACTTAAATCTGGGGTTGAGGCGGTTTCATTGTCTTCACCTGTCCAGATCTTTAGGAAATACCAATCTTCCTAGTACAGGTAATGGAGAGCCCGACTAGAGGAGAGGCACTGCTGGACATGTTGTTCACTAATGCGAAAGAACTTATCGGAGGGGTCAAGATTGGAGGTAGCCTGGGCTGCAAAGATCATGCCCTGGTGGAATTCTCAATCTTGAGGGGTACAGGATGGGTAAAAAGTAGAGTCAGGACCCTAAACCTCAGAAAGGCAAACTTTTGGCTGTTTAGGGTGCTAGTACGTGGGATCCCTTGGGAAACTGCTCTCAGAGATAAAGGAGTGAATGAGAGCTGGGAGATATTTAAAGACATTTTTCTTAGTGCACAAGAGCTCTCAATCCTGACACACAAGAAGTTGGGCAGGGGAGGCAGGAGGCCAGCTTGGCTAAGTCAAGACCTCTTAGCCAAACTAAAACACAAAACCAAAATGCACAGGCAGTGGAGGCAGGGAATACACATCCTGGGGAGATTATAAGGATGTGGCCCAAGAGTGCACAGAGGGGATCAGGAAAGCCAAGGTGGAGCTGGAGCTGAACTTGGCTAGGGATGTGAAAAATAACAAGAAGGGTTTCTTCAGGTACACAGGACAGCAAAGGAAGATGAAAGAAACTATTGGGGATGTTTAGCCTGGAGAAGAGAAGGCTCCAGGGAGACCTTATAGCAGCCTTCCAGTGCTTAAAGGGGGCCTACAGGAAAGATGGGGAGGGACTCTTTTTATCAGGGAGTCTAGTGACAGGACAAGGGATAATGGTTTTAAACTGAAAGAGGGTAGATTTAGATTAGATATCAGGAAGAAGTTCTTTACTGTGAGGGTGGTGAGACACTGGAACAGATTGCCCAGAGAAGTTGTGGATGC